TGACTAAGGGGTTCTGATAAATTGGGTCTGTTTAAAACCGTTATTCTTTCTTTCTTAGTCAGCCATATGTTGTCCCCTCTGCGTGATCGGAAGATCCGACCTGGGCACAACATATGCACTCAGATGATGTTCACTGCTTTTAAGTTAGTATATTTTCTCCTACATATATCCTACTCTCTATGTTAGTCATAATTGTCCCTTCTGCGTGATCGGTAGATCCGACCTGGAACACAACATATGCATTCCACAATGATTATTTACTCACCTAAAGTAAAGGATTCCGAAGAAATTTCCTTGATTATCGGGGTATGTCATGAAGTGGGGAACATGTTCCAGTGTACTAACATTAACTGCACCCATAAATAAAGGTTGATTGGTAGATTTTACTGGCTAAATTTAAGTGGACAACAATATCTCTGGTCGTCGTCAGACAAAATGGTCCATCTAGGAATATAGTAGCTATATATCGTCACTCATGATCTGTACTGAAAAATGTCCTTTGTGGTTAAGTGGATCACAATATCAATGATTGACCAGCGCTTTTGATGAACGTGTGTGCCTATAAACCTCATTAATTTGCTTCATAACGTTTGATCCCAAAAGTTTTTGCTTTATTAGAATCTGTTTATTATACTTTTGTTTTTATTTAAATATGTACATATTTTCACTGTTATGCACAAATTTATAGGGAGAAATTATTCCAAAAAAATATTTAATTTTATTTTTTATTTTCGTATTTGGTTTTTGAAACGTAAAATCGAAAGAAATCTTTTTATTAAAAAATGGTATTTTTCCTTTGGCCGAAATCATTTTGGTGGGCCATCTAGGCGGATTTTTCGGTCATATATATATATATATATATATATATATATATATATATATATATATATATATATATATATATATATATATATATATATATACTAGTGGGGTACCCGCGCGATGCAGCGGTGCCAAATAATTTCTTTCAACAATTAGTTTACGGCGGCGATTATTTTTCTTTCGGTACGTTTCTAGACACCAGTTGGATACCTTTTGGTGGGTTGTTTTTGGTTAAAAACAGAAATATGTTACTGTATTGAATGGCTTAGCAACGGTATCGAAATTCCCTACACTAACCGATACCAAACCGACATTGTTTATAATAATATGGAACAATATTCCATACTCTAAAATAAAATTTGGCATTCCATACCGGTGCTAGTTGCGAAAATCGGTATTATTCCCAGTATCGATGATGTTACTTTGGTTCGGTGCTTGGTATCGACTTTTCATACAATTCGGTATTCACAAATCTCTGGTCGTTACAGGTTTTGTCTCATGGTTATCCCTATTTATTTTGGAATAAAAAGGATTAAAGCTATTTGCTAAAATTTTAAATATGTTTTTGGTTTTTGTTTAAAAAATTTATTGTATTTTTGGCTAAAAATAAGAGTATCTTGTTACTTTGGCTAAACTTAATGGTATAATGTAATTTTAATTGAAAAGATAAATATATTGTTGTTTTAGTTAAAAATAAAAGTAAATTATTATGATAGATAAAATATAAAATAATATTTTTGTGTTGCGTTTAGTGTTTAGGTATTAGCGTTTAGAAATTACGGTTCATGGTTAGCATTAGTTGATAGTTTTCTTTTTATCATGGTTGGTTTCGTTTTTAAAACATGTTGTATAATTTTTCGTTGGTATTTTACTATTTTTCCCACTGCAGCATTTACATCCGCCACTGTCCTTGAAAGGCACAAATCTTAATTAAAGACGCTCCGATTCTTTAGCACTTAGGTTGTGGGGAGTAGTGCGGTCTTTACCGCACCTTTTGCCACATAGTCAGGGGAACACCGCCCCCTGACTGCGGTTTGGGTGCGGTTTAGACCGCAGTGTGGTAAAAAATAGTCGTGGTTTGTGATTGGGTTGAGATAATTTGACCATTTTGTGATTGGGTGGGGAGAAGAATAATGTTTTTACTTAAATTTTTTTTTTTAAATAAAGTGTGGCAAGGAACTGTACTTTTGTGGTAAAAATGAAGTGGTGCTTATGTGGCAATGAAGGGAGTGCGGTTTTAGTGGCATCACTCCTTCCAGCCTTATATATCTACCCAAAAAAACATACGCTTAGGTACAAACCTATCATGCAATAGCAAAGTACTTTTGTGTTTTTGACTGTATTAACTCTTATTTCATTTGAAAGGTATGAGTATAGTTCAACAATAGGATAAAAGAGTGAATGGGTACTTTGACAAATCTTGAACATCAAGAACACCATTATCAGATAAATATATCCAAAAATAAAATAAAATACACCATTGATACATGAATATTAAAAAAGTTAACCTACAAACAAACATAGAATGTTTTTAATATCATTTTATTTTCATTACTAAAAAATTTTATCATTGTTTGGCCAATATTAAAAATTCTTTTTTATAACGATTGCCCATGGATCAGTGTAATTAGTTTAATGGATATTGATTCTAGGACTCTTGACATTTTAAGTAAAACCTATAAAATAAAAGTGGCAACTACAGTGCAAAAACTACCAAAAATTCATCTATTGTTCAAACATTAAAAAAAAACATTGTATGATGCTAACAAAACATATAATCTCTTCCTCAACTTACTCTCATCGGAAACCACCCTTAGGTAACCTCTTTTTTTTCTTTCAGAAACCAACAAGAAATGAAGACTTTCTACTACCCTCCGATAAAAAGCAATGATGATTCTAAATACCTACATGCTACAATCCATTAACATACGGATTCATTTTTTTAAATTATATAAGAAATATATATAACTACAAATAATTTACATATGCCCAAAATTACCCAACAAAAGAAACTTGATCAAAAACCCAAATCTATACATAAAAAAACTCAGATCTAGCATTATCACTAACTTTGAAACCTTAAACTTCATCACAGAGTCATATTTGTAGATAGATGAATACAAAAAAAACTCAAATCTCAAATATATGAATACCAAAACACCAGCAAATGCATATACCGAGATCTCTTTGGTTCTTGAAGCTACAAAGATGACAAAAAAACACATGATCAAAACTGGAAAACAGTTCAATAATGTTGGAGATAATGGATGGAAACCAATATTATCTTTCAAAATCTTTAAATGTTCTTACCTAGATGTGGGTCGACATCTGTTGGCTTTTAGTGTTTTTTTAAGATCGACAATTAAAAGTCACACATAGCCCCAGAGTACAAACCCACACACAGATCTGGGTTGAGATTTATTTCAATTTTGAAGATCTATGGTTATAGAGCAGTTATGGTCGCAGTACATATTAGGTTGTAAACTGAGAGGGTGAAAGTCGGAGGTGCATCTGCAGTGGGGGGTGTCGGTGGTGGTTGGGTTCCAGTGGTGGTGGAGTACATACAGAGTTACAAAAACACAAATACTTACATAGAAATTCAAACAGACACATTGAGACACAAATAATCACATACAGATACACAAACACACTTATATACAAATTTTCCTGGGTTGGGGGGGGGGGGGGGGGGGGGGGGGGAGGGGGGGTACTTTGGTTAGTTTCAAAGGAAAATAAAAATAATGAAGTAAAAATGATAGTGGTCCTGAATTTTGATCGGAAGTTCAGAAACTGGAATCAATTTTGCAGAATATAAATTCTATAATCGAACTCAACATGACAAAATCAGAAAAACGTTTTTTAAAAAAATAAATAAATAAATAATTTTGCAGAGAAAGGAATCAGAAGATGCATAGTGCTGAAACTCAAATGAAATCAGAAAATGTAATTTTGCAAACCTTAAGCGGCCATCTTTTGGTGGTAGGAAGAACAAAATCAGATAATGCATACTGTTGAAACAGAAATAAAAATCAGAAATATAATAGCAAGACCTAAAATAGGTACACGCTCACGTCTTTGGATTCAAAGAAAACTAAAATATATAAGAAACTTAAACTCTGTTTAAAAAACTAACATAAATTTTGTTATTACCCGGATATGAGAGAATAATGAGAGAATACCAAAAACTGTAAACACTCTTTTTAGCCACCATCCTTCCTGAAATTGAACCATTCTTGGTTCCCTGCAACAAAAAACCCTAGATTTCAAGGTAGACGATGAGAGAGAAAGAGCAGTAAGTTTAGGTTGAGATTTTGTATAGATAGGAAAAGTAAGAGATTATAACTCTCCTAGACGCAATCGAGATGGTGAGAAGTTTCAGATCTTCAACATCCATGGTTGATGGTTAATTTTCTCGGAGGAAATGGGTCGCTAGATGATTCAATTTTCTTGAAGCTACACAAATGAAAGAACAAACATATGTAAGAATCGAAAAAATGAGAAAAATCACGAAGGTAAGATAGGACGATGGTGGCTGTCGTTTATAATGATGACCAGTGCTGATAAGAGGAAGCGTTTAAGAGGAAATATTACCTGAACCACTCAAAATGACAAAAAAAAATTATAGCTTATGGGATATTGGTATGACTTTCTTAGGTGGGAAGGTAGCAGGCGGCGGTCGATGGTCGAAGAGTCGTGGAATTAAGGGAGCATCAGATGTGGATTTTTTTTGGGAAAAGAGAATCCGGGCAGTGCCATTGTTTTCTTTAGTTTAAAGCATTAATATTTGTATTTTAAGCTTAATATACTATGTTTGTTTTCTATTGGTTTAATCATCTTCACTTGGATTACCATTCATTTAATCTATACCATTCAAATATGATTGATTCATCTCCTTGTTTTTAAAACTTTGTCTTAAAAATTGGTGGGACCTCATATTATGTATGCATTATAATGTAGTATATATATATATATATATATATATATATATATATATATATATATATATATATATATATATATATTGTTTTCGGCTGGTTAGGGTTTCTCACCGAAAAACCCCCAAACAGCCATCGTTGTTTTCTCTCCCAATAACTTCGAGATTTTCTTCTAAAATCTATCCATTCGTTGTTTCTGTTGCAAATTGTTCGGTGAACCACGTAGCTTTTTGGTTTTCGATCATGACAATGGTATTTAAGTTGTTTTTGGTGTACTCGGTTTCACATATTTGCAGGTTTTCGAATGGATTTTACGAGGTTTCGAACGAACTGCGCTGGAACAGTTTCCGATGAGATTTTGGGTTTTCGGTTCAACCTGGATTCGACCGAGATCCGATGAATATCCGACCCAATCTGACCGAAATGTGGGTTCTCGGCCGAAATCAACCAACGTTGACCGAAATCGTCTGGTCAACAAGTGATTTCGACCGAAATCGATCATTTTTGACCGAAATCGACTGACATTTTGAATTTGACCTTGACTTTGACCGAAATCGGATTTCAGACTCAATTTAATTAATTTTAAATTAGTTCTCACTTGGCTAGTTTGGTGCAGATAAATGGCAGAGCAACATAAATTCGTAGACTCTCACAACATTGTTGGATATCTCATTGATCATCCTGCTGCTCATCAATAATTTAAATCCATAATGGTGGGTTTGAACAACTGCAGGATCTCTCAAGCCCTTCGTGCCAATCCATTCATTTACAGAGACCTTATCATTGATTTCTATAAAAATGCTTCGATCAACAAGCTAGGAGCAAATGGAGATGGTACAGTGGAATCTATGGTGAAAGGAACACAAGTGATTATCTCTGAACAAATTATCCGAGAGGTACTCAAATTTGGTGATGCATCCGCATTCCCAATTGAGTACTCTGTTGATCGTGTCAAGGAAGTTCTGGAGAAAATGTGTTATGAAGGAAACTATCCTCCCACTATCAACAAGCTACTGCCACCCTACTGGAGGTTCCTGGCACACTCCTTCGTGAGTTGCATTTTCAGAAGAAAGGGAGGCTCTGACAAAATCAGTAAGACTGTGACCTCAACAATTGTTGCTCTAGCTATGGACTGGGATTACAACTTCTCAAAGTTCGTCTTCGAAGAAATGAAGAGCAACCTCCTGGAAAAGAAAAAGGACCTATTTTTGATGTACCCCAGGTTCCTTCAAATGATTTTTAACGAAAAATATCCCCAAATCGAAAGGACGCCTGATACATTGGATATGAAAGCTTTGGGTCCCAACACTTTTGAACTCATGAAGCAATCAAGAAAGTCTGCCAACGTTGCTTATCAAGGATTAAAGGAGTTAGTTAAATTTGGAAATTTTGTGAGATTGAAGACACTCCTGTTGTTGGTTCAATAAATGCTAAGGTTGCCGAGGAACACGTGGTGCCCAAACCAAAGTTTCAATTCGCCATTGAAAAGATTGAATTATCTGATGATGAAGAAGATCAAGAGGATCAAGAAAATGAATTGATAGAAAAAGAGTTTCAAGACTTTATTCAGCAAAGTATCTTAAAACCAGAGAAGGATGCAGTTGTCACACCACCGGTTGTGACTGAAAGGGAAAGTGACACAACGGTGCAATCTTCCATATCGACACCTGAACAGATGGATGCTCTCATAGCAAAATTTCAGCGAACTGCAAGGAAGCCTCCCCAAACAGTTCATGTCGCTACTGAACCTCCGTCTGAAAGTGACCCAGAAGACTCAGCCTACACTTTACTCCAAAGGAAGCAAAAAAGAAGAGATCCAAGGCCGGGAGTGTTTATCACGGACCCAATTCAAAAGAAATCTACACCGATTAAGCTTGGTTCTATGGCTCAAAACATACAAAACACATTCACTGAGACCTTTCCAGTGATTCAAGAAATACCAAGCCCGTTCCCTGAGCCCATTCTTATGGATCAGGATTTTCAAAGCCCAATTGTTGAAGAAGAAGTCATACCTTCAGAAGGAGCTCAAGCTTCAGGAAGCTCACTTAAAACACCCGAGCTGGACATCTCCAAAGACAAAAGCAAGTTGCCTGAATCTGAATTTGTTAATGTCGTTCAGCTTCAGAACAGAGTCTTTGATCTGGAACAAAACTCTGCTGAAAAAGATTTGGTAATTTGAAAGCATGATATTCGAATCATCAAGCTTGAGAAAGAGAACTCTGATAAAGATTCAAAGATCTCAGAGCTTCAAGCGAATCTCGGTGGTTTAACTGCTCTATTCTTTGATCTGAAACAACGCGTATTTCAGAATTTTGGTGATGAATTTCAACCCTTGAGCGCTGAAGGAGAAAATATTACTGCTTCTCGTTCAAGTCCCGCCACTCCAACTTCACAATCTTCAAGTGAAAGAGATGCAAGACCTGCAAACAGATGCTAACCTTGATACATTCTTATCTTCTAGTTCTCTTTCTTCTCAAGAAAGAAGATGGAAGCAAATTAGGGTTGAGCAGCTGAAAGGGAAAATGCTCTTGATGAAGAATTCAGATTAAAATGTTCCAGGTGATCACCCTGAAATGTTCTTTAGGGAAACTGGGAAGTAGTTCACAGACAAATATGGTGATCGTTCTGGCATCATCATGTGGGGATACGATGCTGAAAAGAAGATGTGGATCGTGAAGCGAAAAAGTGGAGGAATTGAATATTATGAGAGCAAAAGTCGACTTCATGTCTTGGAAAAAAAGTTGATATGTCATAAATCATCCACACACCTTTCCACAATCCAATCAATGATACCATGGCATGGTCCTTTAAGAATTTTCTTGAGATTAAAGCGAAAAATAACTTTGAAGACTTAAAGACTGCTTCATCATTTACTAAGAAGGCCAAGGGTGTCATTGATCCACACACAAACAAAACAGTGGTGAATGTCATGTGGCCACCTACAAAGCAAGCCAAAAGGATTCCTCTTCCCAAGCGCTTACCTGAAGGCACTTTGGATACAATACAATTTTGGGTTTATGATGAGGCTACTGCAACGGTGGTGATCAAGCTGAAGAAAAACCAGTTACATATTATTAATCCTAAAGATTTGTTGATGTTTGGAGAACGTGATATCCATACTTTATCAAACTTTCAGATTATCGTAGAGAATGAACTATTCGAAGCTACCGTGAAAGCTTTCACTGGAATGGTAGCTACAATTATCGACAAGAAGCTATGGGCAGGGGCATTTGACCAAGCAGATGTACATCTTGTAGAGAAACCTTGAAGAGAACAGAAAGCAATAAACCAAGGGGGAGATTGTTGGGCTATATTTAGTGGTTTATGCTTTGTTTTGAATGTATTATGTTGTTCTCGGTTTTGGACCGAAATCACCTAGTGATTTCGGTGGGCTTAGTGTGTTCTCGATGGGCTTATTATGTATGGGCTTTAGGTTATTGGTTTAGTATATATATGGTATGTGTATAGCCGTTCAAAATAAATGCGTTTTTGGTGAATACTAGTGATTCACAGCTGAAGTGTGATTGAGTGTACTTGATAGTTATTCAATAGAATTGTGTGCATTCATGTTATTAAAACGTGTTCTTGATATATCTAATTGATTGTTTCGTATCATTGTTTGATTAAGATTTCGCATTAAATCAAACGATTGCATCGATATTTTGATAGATCCGAATTCAGGGACTTACAGATAGGGTTTACACACCCTCAGCCTCCATCACCTCCCTTTCGACATAAAATCACCCTTAGCCTCCATTGTTGATTTTTTGAAGTTTTGTGGTGATTTTTGGTGAGAAGAAGAAGAAGAAGGCATCCTTTGTGAGAAGATCTAGCAAGCAACCTCCTCCTCCACCTCCTAGCTCCTCTTCTGGACCATTGTGAGTCTTCAAGTTCCAACCTTTATGCTTCATGTTTCTATATCTAGGTTTCTTTTCTTTATTCTTCATGTTTGGATTAGTTGGGGTGGTTTGAATCCATAAAGTTGGCAAATGTATGGATCATTGAGGCCCTCTTATGATTATATGTCCTGGATCTGAAGAATGGTTAAGTTTTGAATCATTGCATGAGGCTTTGACCCTATTTTCTTCATTTTTGACCTACCTGGAGTTTAATACATGCATTAGACATGCATCTCTATAAAGCTTCGACTTTTATGATGCATTGGGTGTGAGAAAGCCTTCTAAAAAGTGTTGATGGGTAGCTTGAAGGATTAAGGGCTTAATAAATCATCAGCCTCCACCTCTCATATCGACCCTTGCAAACCCTAATCCATTTTTAGAGCATATTTGAGCCTTGAGTGTGTATTTTGGTGATCTTGAAGGAGGAAGAAGGAAGAGGAGACCAACTTAGAAGAGTGAAGCACTTTTGATCCAGAAACACATCATCATTTTGCACCACTTGGAGGTAAAAAGCTCTGATCTTGATGAAGTTTTGCTTAGATATTGATTAGCCATGGATTGTGTTCATTTTGGTCCCATAAGCTTGATGTATTTGAGTATGGGTTACTCTAATTCGTTTGATTTGTCCTTTCATACGTTTTTGAATGTTTAGAATCATAAAAATGTAATCTTGGTCCTTAGTTTTCCTCCATGCATGGTCTAGGATGTCTTAATGAGTTAAGAAGTTGGGTTTTTTGGTTTGAGCACTTAATAGCCATGCAAGATCATAAAGTTGGAAACTTTATGATTAAGGACATCATTTGAGGACTAGATATGGATTTTGGATGAAAGAGCTTAAGGAAATTAGCTCTTAATAGAAGGTGAAGTTGGCTGGAACGTAAGTTTGGCATATGCTAGAGTACGTTGCGCGTACATGGTCAAACAGCTCGATTTTGGTCAAGCCTCGAGTACGCTAAGCGTACAAGCTGAGTATGCTGGGCATACTCAGCTGAGTCAATTCGGATGACTTTTTGACTTTGGACTTGACCAGATTTTGACCAAGTTTGACCTTGGGGTATTTTGGGTATTTTGAGTTATAGTTGAGTTTGATCATTTATCATTGAATAGGTGATCGGTAGAGCTAATATTCGGAGCAGTGTCCTGTTCATCTATTTCTTCTGTCTGTAAGGTGAGTCTCCTCACTGTATCCATGGGTCGAAGGCACCAATGTCGACCTATTATCTTGTTATGTAGAATGTTAGTTGTTATGTGAATGTCATATCGGGTTGAAATAAACCGTAGGGCGGGGCCCACTATGGCATGTTCGGGTTGAAATAAACCCCAGGGCGGGGCCCACTTTGCCATGTTCGGGTTGGAATAAACCCCAGCGCGGGGCCCACTATCGTATGATCAGGTTAAAATAAACCCCAATGGTGGGCGCAAAAACTGGGCCCATATTTTCTTATTGGATTGGAATATACCCCATGGCTAGGCCCAGTTTATATGTTTGGTGTATGGTATTTTGGGGAAACTCACTAAGATTTATGCTTAAAGTTTATGTTTATGATTTTAGGTACTTCCAGTATAAAAGGGAAGAGCCCAACGTGACGACACAACATCCTCCCCTCTTGATTTCCGCACTTTTGGATACTATTACTCTAATTATTTGGATATTGTACACTGTTATTGACTTGGATTTATTTGGTGATTGAAACTATTTCATTTTTAAATGAAAAATTTTATCACGGTTTTTGGGATGTTACAAGTTGGCATCAGAGACTTGGTGTGAGGGATTCGGGAACACTTTCGGGTGTGTTAGAACTTAAATTGATGTAAGTCCCGATCTATAGATCCAAATCAGTAATCAATGAAATGCAAACAATCAAACAGAGTGTAGGAGTAGAAGGAGAATTAAGCCAAGCATGCACACATCTATAACGTACAAATGTCAAGTACACCTTGGGAAACACACACACATACGTCACTATATTCTGACACACTGACACAACCTATTTATACCACATGAAGCAGCACACCAGTGTGCAGCCACACACACATGTACGGCCACACACAGTGTGTGCGGCCGCACACACGTGTATGGCCGCACACACCCTCTAACAAGCTACAACCACCACAACATACTTTAACATCCTACCAAGACCTATACATTTGAATGCCTAGCCCAAACCACAAAAGTATAGCCTATCAATCTCCCCCTTGGTTTGTGGCTAGCATAGACTTGGTCTTTATTCTCCAGGTTTCTTGAACAGCTTCAGGTCGGATTTTCCCATGGATCCCATCCATAGCTTTCCATTGATGATGGTGGCAACCATGCCAGTGAATTCCTTGGCAGCAGCCTCCATGACTTCTTTTCTGCAAATGATTTGGTGACGAGCCAAGGTACGAATGTCTCTTTCTCTGAATCTGAGAAGATCTTTTGCACTGAGAAGCCTTATCACTTTTTCGCTACTCTTGAGCTTGATGGCAGCAGTAGCAGTTTCATCATCATATGCCCAAAATTCCAGGTCATCAAGAAATCCTTCATGGAAGTGTTGAGGGATAGGAATTTCTTTCAATTGTTTTGTTGCTGGCCATAGTATGATCTTCATTGGCTCACCAGATTCAGGATCAATAACATCTGCATCTTTTCTGTACAGGGCTTTCGCAGTTTTCGTCTTTGAGAAGTTTTCTTTGACCTGCCTGTTTAGAAATCGTTTTGAAGTTGAACGCACTGGGATCCTGTGAATGATTGTGAAATGGGGCCCCTTGAAAGTTCGGCAAGATCAACTTTCGTCCATGAGTTGAAGTCATGGATGCTCTGGTAGTATTCAGAAATTCCAGAGTTTCTCTTTACAACCCACATTTTCAACTCATGATCAAAGGCCCACATTTTGATCCCAGAGCGATCACCATACTCGTCACCAAACTTTCTCTTTTTAAGATCCGTCACTGTCAATACAGGATCTTTTGCTTTGCGATTTTTGTTCGAATCTTCATAAAAAGTAATCCTTCATTTTTATTGGCAGTGACGGTCCTTTTTCCATGTTTGATCATGATCCGAGATCTGGCACCTTCAGGCTCTTTTTCAAATCGATCAACGACTCTTGTTGTAGGAGGAGGTTGGACAAAAGAAGCTTCATTTTCAGAAGGCTGGTCGGAAGCAGTAGGAGGGTCTTCTATACCATGAGGCTGTTGAAACAAAGTTTTTAGCTTATCCCCAAAAGCGTCAAATAGCTTGTTCTTTAAATCGAAGTAAAAGGCAGTTACTGATCCAAGATTGGTTTGCAGATCAGTAATCTGTTTTGACTTTGAAGCATTTTCTGCCTGGAGTTCAGCGATGAGGTTACCGTGTTGTTCAAGCATGATGTCTTTTTCAATGTTCTGTTGTTTCAGAATACCAATCTCTTCTTGAAGTTTGAACACAACAATATTTTCATCCCCTGAGCGACCTTCCTCGAAAGATATTCCCTTTCCACGGGAGGAAGATTATGGGCTATGTTGAGACAAGTGCTTAGCGAGTCGGATAGAAGCCTCATCTAGCAATGGTCTTGTTGGGGAA